ACTTTTTACTTTTTGCTCTGGTTCTGTCAGCCTGAAACACTGACATGACATTTCGGAATCGTAGAAAGCATGATTTTTATTTAGGAGAGCCAACAGTCGTCGCAGAGCAAGGGTGTCGATCCTGCAAATGAAGAAAAGTGAACATGTTTTTCATTTTTCGTCCATCAGGCGCAATGGGAAGAAAAGCACTGCGCTCACTGCTCGTCGCAGCTATTGTTAGTTGAGAACTTGACAGAGCAGGACAATGGCGCCGAGGAGCAAGAAGAGTGAAAAATGAACAGCAATAGCAGCTAGCGAGTCTTCGACATCCCCGGAACGCCTGTCTGCATGCGAACAGTTCGGCAAGATGTCAAAACTCCAAAACGCAGAGAGTGACAATCGTCACTTCGCGCAGCAGAACAAGATAAACAAGTTCAAAATAGAAGTCGTTCAGCTACTGCAAAGCCCAGACCTCAACGTGGATGATCTCGCCTTTTCCAGCAGCCTCGACAATGTGTCCTTGGTCGCAGAGGAGAAGGCGAGATCTGATCGCGGCAGACGGGAATTGCTGGTACGACTATGATATCCCTCGGAATTCAATTAAAAAACTCCGACGGGTTCACGTACCGGGCATGTCAAGAACAAGGAGTTGTACAACTCCCTGGTAAAGAACCACCTTTCCGCTCCCGTGGGACGCCACCACCCCATGATCAGGCGCCAGATGCGGCTCCTAAACGGTGGGGGAGGATAGATCAGATCCACCAACCAAATCCCACCCGCCACAGCGGAGGAAATATTAATAAATTATTTGAAATGTTTGGCGTTGCCTGTGTTTGTTGTTCCGGAGCATCTTCGAGCGAGAGCGGAGGAGGCAATGAGTACCAGCGCTGCAGCGCTGCCGTGGTCTCCGCCGAGATGTTGGAGAAGGCATTCAGGTAACAGCGAAGACGATCAGGGACGCGGATACCCTTCTCGGTGACATACGACATCGCGTCGATCGACCTGCCACTTGGAACGGTTTCAGCGGTGATGAGTGGAGCGATGGCGACCCAGACTGAGACTCTACTCCCACTAATCGATCCTGTAGATATGTTGATTGAATGTGTTGAAGTGTTTCTCTTCCAAAAGAACACTTCTGTTGAGCACAGCAGTAGTAGTAGCAGCAGAATATATTATTTTACTAGGGAACTCCCAACTGGCGTTGCCTTTTTACTGGGAACCCTAGGAATGACTTGGTGCTTGTGAAAAATGCAGAAAGGGGCTTAGCTTGACGACATCCAGGTGGAAGCATGTTCCATCTGTCTGCTGCCAAACATTAAATAGCATTCAGGCCGTAACGAGACGTAGCTCTGGGTAGGTTCAGAGCGGCTGAAGCTTGACCGCGGGTAGCAGCACTTGTGCGGCATGATGCAGAGCGGGAGGGGGGGGGGGGTGTTTCGGGGTAAACAAGTTAGTTGTTTACGATAGGATTATATTCTCACTTGGCCATTGTAGGCAAATCATAAGAACCTCGACATCTAAGGGATCCTGCATGAAAGTAGGCAGCTGCAAGATGCGTATCTCGCGCATGCTCTTGCATGGCTATGTAATGCATTACATCATAATACAACAGGGGGGGGGGTAAATATCGTGCTTAAAAGAGGACTGGTGCAACAAGATAGACACCTAAAAACAAACACAAACAGCTTCTAGTTTACACTGCGAGAGAAAGTATACAGGTTATATTTGGTGAGAATGAAATCGATAGAAGTATACCGATCATGGCCAAACACTCGCCTTAGGCACCTATTGCTGGTTGACTCAAGTTTGTCTCGGAGTTTAACAGACAAGCAATGAACATAAGATGTGCTGGCATAGTCCAAGGTACTCTGGACAATTGTCAGGTAAAACATGCGGCGGCCGGTCATGGAGACATCGCGGCGCCCGTGGCGGAATGAGGCAACCTTGCACTGTGCCTTTGCGCACACACGCTCCACCTGCTGCTCGAAGCTGAGCGACGAGTCCAATAGGAGGCCAAGGTACAGAACATGGCTGGACTCGGGGATGACAGTGCCTTTGCAGGTGATGCTGGGGATCAAGTACAGGTGCGCAGCAGGTCGTCTGAGCAGCAGTAGCTGAGACTTTTTTGGGATTCAGCACCAGTCCCCGTTCGCTGAGGAAGTCCTCCAGATTCAAGAGATCTGTCTGCAGCATTCTGAGCATGGTTGAAGCCTAGCGACCAATGATTTAAAAAGCGATGTCGTCCGCAAACAGGAGAGCATGGCAATGTTGAAATTTCTGAGGGGTACGGCGGATATAAATGCAGAAAAGTAAGGGGCCTAACACGGAGCCTTGTGGTACACCACAGTAACCTCTTGCAAAGTCATGTCAAAAGTCACGAAGTTTTTGTTTCCGGAGGAAATAAATGAGCAGGACAATGGCACCTTGCCATCAGTGTTTGCGGACGGTTTTGACAGTGCTCCTCGCGCCTCCAACAAATCTTCCGTTTTCTGCCATTGTGAACTTGTGTGCAGTGTAAGAAATTTACAGCAACCCCTCCATTCATGCTTCATCTTCATGGGCACATTTTTTGTGTTACTTCTCCCCATCCGCATCCCCATCCCCATCCCCATTTCCTGCTCCAGATTATGATGAATGTTTATCTAACCCATGCAAGAACAATGCTACGTGCGTTGATGGCATCTTCAAATTTACCTGCCGATGTCCAGCTGGCTTTACCGGTGCTACTTGTCAATCATGTGAGTATACGTGGCTGGGCCTTCGGTGGTCTTTTTTTCTTTCTTTTATAGCCGATATGTGTATAAATTACCATCTGTATCACCTTGTGTGCACCGCCATCTGCAAACAGGCTCTCAGCTGCACGACAAGAATAAATTTATGCCAATACTTCGTCCATTGGGGATCATCAGGGCAATCTGTATCAACTCTCAAGCCTGTAATTTTAATGTTCCCATCTCAGATGGAGAGCCAAGGATAAATTTATAGAAAAAGGACCAAGGAACTACAAGTTATGCTATAATGTCCACTAACGACACCAGTTACAACAGCACCTGCTACTAAACAATCAGCTCATGTTATCATATAACTTAGAACCTTCCAAGTTGGAAGGCTGTTGGAGTGCGCACCCAAGATGTGCTAGAGCTGTTAGCAAGATAGTTGTAGAACGTCAGTACCGTCGGTCAGTGTCGTGCTTTGTTATCGCATGAGCTGATTGTTTAGTAACTGGTAGTGTTAGTGGACATTATAGCGTAACTTGTAGTTCCTTGGTCCTTTTATTTTCTATAAGTTCCCATCTCACTTCCAGTATGGAGGTTCATCAGTAGCCTGCCCTCCTGTCTCACTCGCATTGGTAAACCTCCCATCGACATTGTCAAAGTCTACTCGTCAAGCATCTATGACGTGACGTTTGAGCATCATGTCATTGTCACAATATGATTTGCTCTGTAATCTTCTCTAGTCTTCAGACTGCAGGTGCCAGCTGCTCTATACATCACAGTTTGTGCTCTCATCCCTAGTTTGTCTCCTCATTGCTACGAGTTTCTCGTCTCTGCTTACTGATGCGGCTTTATCTTGATCTTGCTCAGAATCTACACGCTGCACAGAGATGTGTGCATACAGGAGACTAAAAGTACGCATCCCATCTCTAAGCTACACCCTCGACTTTTGTGGGAGCTGTATGCGTGCTGTATGCATGCTATTGTTCTGGAGTGAGTTTCTATGCTGGTGTGTTGTTGTCTCGGTGTGTTGATGTGTTCACTCCCACCCAGTGCTGGACTGCCCAGCATTCAAGACACGCGATCATACAGGCATTTTCTGCAAGGACTGTACCTGCTACCAACAGGGCTCGCAGAGCTGTGACATGAGTAACGGCACTTGCTATTGCAATAATCTAATCTCTGGAGACAAGTGTGACACGTGTGCCAAAGGCTATTACCAATCGAGGGGCAGACTGGATAGCTGCGCTAGCTGTGGGTGCACGGCCAATCGAACAATGAACAGTACGATCTGTGACGCAAATACCGGTTCTTGCCTCTGCCTGCCGCAGTACACCGGAGACAAGTGCCAGTTCTGTAGCAGAGGTTATTACAAGAACTCCACCAGCAGGGATTGTGCTGCATGTGCCTGCTCTACCGGAGGCTCAGTTGGCACCTCTTGCCATGTCTTTACAGGGCAGTGCACATGTCGCCCTGGCTTTGTTGGCCGTGACTGCAGTCAGTGTGCTGCTGGACATTTCCAAGCTGACTCATCGCACATGGCTTGTGTAGACCTCAAATCATCAACCATTTGTCAAGGTACGGTTTGCTGTAAATCCTGCAATACCTGTCCTTGTTTGCTTTGGATGTGCTTGATTGGTCAAGCCAGATTCATATCAGATTCATTGGAGTATTCCAAGCCGATAGCCCAAACAAATACAAAAAGACTTTGGCGAGGAAAAAATGCAATGATCATTGTGTTTAGGTCAAATGTGAAGTCAAGTCGGTGGAAAAGCAAGAGCTCCGGTGTGGGGAGAGGAGAAGTCTCCTATGAAACTGGACCTTTTTTGTTTTCAACGTTGATTTTGTATCTTCAGTATACCGACGCAAAATGCAGTCTATTCGGAACAAGAGAATCTTGGGGTGATGCTTCAATAGCTCATATTCAAACATCATGTGTGTGTATGTGCATGTGTGTGTGTGTGTGTGTGTGTGTGTGTGTGTGTGTGTGTGTGTGTGTGTGTGTGTGTGTGTGTGTGTGTGTGTGTGTGTGTGTGTGTGTGTGTGTGTGTGTGTGTGTGTGTGTGTGTGTGTGTGTGTGTGTGTGTGTGTGTGTGTGTGTGTGTGTGTGTGTGTGTGTGTGTGTGTGTGTGTGTGTGTGTGTGTGTGTGTGTGTGTGTGTGTGTGTGTGTGTGTGTGTGTGTGTGTGTGTGTGTGTGTGTGTGTGTGTGTGTGTGTGTGCATCTATGTGTGCATCTATGTGTGTGTGTGCATATTATGTTTGTGTGTGTGTGTGTATGTGTTTGCGCGTGTGCTTCCGTAATAGCCTGCCATTGCTCCAAGGATGGTGCTAATGGCACCAGTTGTGCAGCTGGTACTGGCAAGTGTCAGTGCAATGAGGGATATATTGGTGATAAGTGTGACATATGCGCTAACCCGGATCAATTCCACGTCTCAAATGGTGGTTGCCAAGGTAACCTTTCCTTCTTAACTTTTTGGTTTGGGGTTACAGAGTCGAAGCTGACTGCTTATTCCCGATGTGCTTGCATCAGAGAGCTCAAGTGTCCTGGTGTGTGCTGCAAAGAACCTTATTTGTATGGTTCTCAACACCCAAAAGGAAATATATCTGGAAGTGACTCGGATGGAGAGTCAATGATTAATTTATTGAAAAGAAAAAGGCCCAAGGAACTATAAGTTACGCTATAATGTCCACTAACACCACCAGTTACCTGACAATCAGCTCATGCGATAACATTGCACACAACTGACCGACTTGGTCCTTTTTCTTTTCTATATCTGGAATTGTTGTATTTATAGTAAAGAAAGGGACCAAGGAACTACAAGTTAAGCTATAATGTCCACTAACACCACCAGCTACTTGACAATCAGCTCGTGCGATAACATTGCACACAACTGACCGACAGTACCTGGCATTCTACAACTAACTGCCTATCAGCTCTAGCACGTCTTGGGTGCGCACTCCAACAGCCTTCCAACTTGGATCTAAGTCATATTATGAAAACATAGGAGGGGAAGGTGAGCGCAACCAAGACAAGCACAAGCTGACAGTCTCAGCTGTGAAAAACGTTGGTGGATGTTGTTTTAGAGCAAAGTTAGAGAATTTAAAGGAAGTGGTTTCAGAGCAGACCGTTCGTTCTTTTCCATTGAAAAGTGGGATCTGCTCTGAAACCATTTCCTATGAATGAAGCTGTAGGAAGCCTCACCACTGCTACTAACTTAAAGAATTTAGAAATTTGAGAATTTGACAGGCAAAGCTGTGCAGATATCTCCTGCTTGGGGGGAGGCCTAGCAAATCCAAGACGAACAGCATTTCGTTGAAAAAAGAATAAGCTGGCTTTGGCAATTCATGAGGAGCACATCAAGAATGATGCCGGACTGAAAAATGATTTCCCCTGAGAAATTGTAATTATTATTTGCTTAGCACTTTTTTCCGTCCAGCTCTTGAAAGCTCAGCCAAGTACATGTACATCGAATTACGAAGTGCTTTATCATCCATTTCCCACATATACTGGAAATCAACCACTCTATTCAGCTCTATGCAATCTCATGTACAGTAAACCTGATTTAAGCGACCAGGTGGTTCTTAGAACCAGGTCCCATACATTCGTGGCATATCGGGTCGTGTACATACATGAGCATGATCGTAATTCCATGTACTCATATTGACAAGCTTGGAGCATACATTACTTTCAGGCAGGCAAAGAACACCTCACTCAAGTGCTTGCAGTGCATTCTGCACTGTCCTTTGTCACTTCTGTTGACTGCATGCACATGCTTCAGAGCGCACCTCAACCCTGTTGCAGTCAGCCCCACCAGCCAAGATTGCAGGTCCAATATTGCACTTGGTGCACAAAAAGTCGGTCGCTGATCCGCGCAAGGCAGGTGGTCGCAGTATCCAGTGCAGTTTCTGTGTAAAACTGTACGCGCATGGAAAAATGGTTGGTAAAATCAGGTGGTCGTTAAAACCAGAGGTCGCTCACAAATTGGGTGCGCATTTTTGGGACTGCGACAAATTCTGAGGAAGCGAAAAAGTTATAGACAACAAACTCATTATTGAAGTTGATTGTTCCAACTAGGAACACACGCTTCTTGTCGAACTTGACACTTGACTGACTCACGACTGCCATCCGGAGCACACGAGGACCACGCCGCACCTTCCACTCGGCAAACCTGCAAGAAAGCACCACTCCCTGCTCAATACACAGTGTTTCGGGGAATTCACCCCTCATCAGTTGAGCTTGAGTAGGCTGAGGAAGATTGTGCCTGAAAAGCACAACTTATATACTGCTCTCCAGGCCAAACCATCACCAGGGATACAAACTTACAGAGACGCTTTGTTTCCAGCGCGACAAACACCTCGTGAAGCTCCAGGTAGCAGCGTGAGTCAGAGTGGCTCATGGAGTTGTGCTAAACAGACGTTGAGAGCCAGTATAGCTATTCGCAACGCTGTCACCTCCAACAACTAGTCACACATCCACGTGAGGGACAAAAATACGAACTTAGAAGTTGCGACTTCGGCGGTAATAGTCATGAAGTTGATTGTTCCAACTAGGAACACACGCTTCTTGCCGAACTTGACACTTGACTGACTCACGACTGCCATCCGGAGCACAAGAGGAGCACGCCGCACCTTCCACTCGGCAAACCTGCAAGAAAGCACCACTCCCTGCTCAATACACAGTGTTTCGGGGAATTCACCCCTCATCAGTTGAGCTTGAGTAGGCTGAGGAAGATTGTGCCTGAAAAGCACCACTTATATACTGCTCTCCAGGCCAATTATTATTAATTTAATTATTGTGGAAAGGAGGAGGACATATGGATACGAGTTAAGAGTAACTCTCCATCACTGTAACTGGATACTATATACAGTCAGAAAGTGCAATAACTAGGCACAAAACTTACAAGAGTAGTGAGACATTGGACGTTCTTCCTTTCCACATTTATTTATGGCTCAACATCCGAGTTTCAACTTTTAATTATTGTATTTATTATTAACTGGTTTGAGGGAAAGAGACAAACGGGAAAAGTCTGAAGAAAAAAATTGACTGTCACCACCAGGACTCGAACCAGGGACCCTCGCTTGTAGATTATTATCATTATTATTGTGAAAAAAGAAGGACAAAATGTTACGAGTTATGACTAACTGTCCACCATTTTGTCTTTCTTCTTTTTCACAATAATTTAATTGGCTCACCATCCGAGTTACATTATTATTATTATTATTATTATTTTAAAACGAAGGTAAGTTATGGGTCGCAAATATCCACGCAAACACACATCCAGTCATAATAAGGCACTTGTCATAAGTATCCGAACGTTTTCGGTCCCTTCCCTTGTGTTGTCGCTACAATTGTTTGGTGTTACTCCTCGTCGAGGTGGTAACAATGTAACTTAATTTGCTCACTATGTTGTTGTCACTATTATTATTTTCCTTCGAGTTTTGTGTCGTGCTAAACTTGATAATTTTCCACATTGTCACGAGTGTTGTTATCTAATTATCTTTACGCTATATAAGTTTTAGTCTTTCCAGCTTGAGCCATTCCCTGTATAATCCTTGATGAGAAGGGACCGAAAACGTTCGGATACTTATGACAAGTGCCTTATTATGACTGGATGTGTGTTTGCGTGGATATTTGCGACCCATAACTTACCTTCGTTTTAAAGTATTATCCGCCTCCGACCTCTTTTAAAAAAATTATTATTATTATTATTATTATTATTCAACGCAATAAATAGAGTAAGCTGCGCACTCAGTACAAACACCATAAGCAAAACTTGTTTTCATGTAAATAAAGAAGCTTGTTCCTAAACGTTTTCGTCGCCATCTCATCAGAGGATTACTGGCAAATCAACAAAAGCTCTTAACTCAATATATATACGCACAATGCAAGTAATAATTTAGACCCTAACTAGCGCGATAAAATGAGAGCTGAAAGAAACATTACACCATTCAACGATATCAGGTGACAACAGATGCGATAAATTCACCACTAGAAAGTTACCATGCAACCACAAACGAGAACTACTGATCTAAATTCACAAACAATTTCACTGTAAACAAATTTAAAGAATTTGTTTACGTTGAAATGTTTGTGAATTTAGATCAGTAGTTCTCGTTTGTGGTTGCATGGTAACTTTCTAGTGGTGAATTTATCGCATCTGCTGTCACCTGATATCGTTGAATGGTGTAATGTTTCTTTCAGCTCTCATTTTATCGCGCTAGTTAGGGTCTAAATTATTACTTGCATTGTGCGTATATATATTGAGTTAAGAGCTTTTGTTGATTTGCCAGTAATCCTCTGATGAGATGGCGACGAAAACGTTTAGGAACAAGCTTCTTTATTTACATGAAAACAAGTTTTGCTTATGGTGTTTTTACTGAGTGCGCAGCTTACTCTATTTATTGCGTTGATTACATTTTTATCTCCACGGAAGCTTTTTAATTATTATTATTATTATTATTATTTGAAACTCGGATGTTGAGCCATAAATAAATGTAGAAAGGAAAAGGACATATGGATACGAGTTAAGAGTATCTCTCCATCACTGTAAATGGATACTATATACAGTCAGAAAGTGCAATAACTAGGCACTAGGCACTAGGCAATCTACGTGGAGATAAAAGTTTAATAATAGCTATGAAAAGTATGAATGCCGCATACATCACCACGCAACATGACAATTTGTTCAAGGTTTGAGATTGTGTGTTTCCAGAATCGATTTTCAAGCTCCGATCATCAGTGGTCATCAATGATGATCGGAGCTGAAAAATCGATCATTCATACTTTTCATAGCTATTATTATTATTAAGGGTTAATTAACCCTCCATGCGCTCTAAAGCCGACCATTGCTACCCTTGGTAGCCACTACTCACACCAATAACTTCAAACAACGAGGGGGTCACGGGTAAAACATTTCCTTCTGACAGCTGTTTCGCCTTTCAAAGGCTCGTCAGAAAAGGTGATACTGATATTGTAATTGACATGGCATACTGATTTTATACGGTGTAATTATTATGGGCGCAAGAAAGAAACTAGGCCAGGTGTAACACTGAGAAGTTCCAAGAATATTCTCAAAGCCCTTGGTTCTAGGAGAATAGCAGGTGAGAAACTGTATTCGTCCAATCACAAGCTGCTAACATTTTGCACGATAATGCAGCATAGATACAGACAACGAGCGTGTAAATAAAGTACCGTATTTTCTCTAATAATAGCCCAGTCTCCAATAATGACCCGGGGTGAGGGTGGTTTGAAATAATAAGAGCACAGTCTCTAATAGTAGCGCGGGTCACAATTGGAGTATGCAACAAGTATATTGACTGCATATAAAACAGCAGTACAACATGCCAAGAACATATTTGTAAGGACGTTTTCGGTCTACTGCTTCCTTCCTGGTGCCAATGCTATTGTGAAACATCTGTTTTGACCATATTCCTGAGTTAGGGTTGAAACATCAGTCTTGATATGGTCAGTTTATGTCTGTTTAGACTGGAGTTGGCTTGATATGACAATTGAAAAAAAATAAGAGCCCAGTCTCCAACAATAGCCCAGTCTCTAATAGTAGCGCCAAGAGTCCATAAACAAGAGTATGCAACTGTGATCTCTTTTCTATGGGCCAGATGCGAGGCGCGCTGCCTTCATCACATCATTCAGCTGCAGTCCGCGCACTGCGGAAAATCAAACACCGCACTTTCCCTCAGGTTTGAAATGAACTTTCGTACGGAACTGGAGTTCACGCGCCAGAATTCAGAGATCGCGTAGGTACTGGAACGAATCGAGCAAAACGGTTGGGCTCGTACGAGAAATTGTGAGTTTGAATGCATGCTTTCAGAGCGTGATGAAGGCAAGTTACATAATGAAGGCAGCGCGCCGCGCACTGGGCCATAACCACAGTTGCATACTCTTGTTTATGCACTCTTGGTAGCGCGGGTAGAGCTGCCACTGAAAAAATAAGAACCCCGGGCTCTTATAAGAGAAAATACGGTAATCACCTTTCCACTTCCGGAGGATATTTCAGATCCACCAAGCAGAGGCCAAAGCCCAAAATCCCTTTCTCAGCATCCATGAGTTTCATGTGCATTGCACTGAAATCTAGGAGATGTTTGAAAGTATAATTTGCCAGGATGCATAACAGTCTAGGAGCATGTGGATTGAATGTAGGTACGCGGTATGCCAGACTGGAAGATGCCAACGGCTGTGTACGGCACGCTGCCTGACTATACTTTTTTGTTATTATCTTTATTCTCACGATGGTCGTAGCCAATAAGAAAGAGACAGTACTATGTGTTACCAATCAGAGTGGGTGCAATAAACCGGGAGAAACAGTGGCTAGTGTCAGCCGTGGTTTGGGTGCTTCATTTAAGTAAAGACGAGGAAGGAAGTATATCCATTGCGGAGGCAGGTAGGCGATAGACCTTGATTAAAATACTATACCTAGGCTGGACTACAGCGGGGGTTGGAGCATACTTGTAGTGGACAGGGAGTTGGTGCAAAATGAGCAGAGCGCCTGTGCTGTGCTTTTTGCACCTGGTGGTGGGAACAACCAGGCACTGCATTGTATCATGGAACTCCTGCAAAGTAGCGGCCTGTGCAGGTAGAACTAGGAGGAAAGAAACAGTGCAACAGATTACGGACAATAACCCTGGGTTCTGCAGGCAATAATCAAGCAGTTGGTGGTTAGCTTTGTAAGCATGCACAGCAGTGTTTCTTTGCAGTGATCAACACCTCCTACAGAGATTTGCCTTTTTAAAGATAAAGAAATGTATCCCTGGCAGGATTGCCATCACATGGTAGGACCAGGACCACCATGGCCATACCACCCTTCTTCCAAGATGGTCCATCCAATTCATCCCAAAAAAGCAATAAGAGAGGGCTAAAACGTGCGCTGTTGTCCGAAAATATCCGAGTCATTTTCCCGGGGGACACCCCGACCCCCGGTCATACCACTGCCCTTTGACCTTTGACACCACTGCCTGGGACGGTGGGACTCTTGGACGGTGGCAATATTTCCATGGGGCAAGATGGCCAAGACACCAGCATGTGCAAAGAGAACATGCTAGTGACACGTGAAAAAGAAACGGTACGCTTTCCAACGGCCAAAGAGAGTTGGAAAGCTTGTGTCTTTGTGGGTAACTTGACCATTTGGGCTCATGTAAAATCACACTGATTTTGGGATTTCCCTGCAACTTTTTGCTTCAGCAAAAAATGTTGTGCTTGACCGCATTCCTGTCACTTCGCAGTGGCTTTTCGTTGGTGCAGTTTGTATCCTACCCTCCCACCCCTGACTTCTGGGTGTGTGTTTATCGATATAGTCGTATTTCTTATTGGCCATGTGACTGTGGCGGTTACGACGGCTTTTCTTTTTTTAGTTAAAAAACGTAGGGGTGGTGTGTGCGTCGTTGGCCTTTGTATGGTTACGTACAGCTTCAGATTGTATGGGTAGTGCCAGGGGAGTTGAATCTGCATGGGAAGAATACCACTGTATTGTGATTGAACTGAAGCTGGATGATGACCGTGTGGTGAGTGTGTTGGGGTTTTCAAGATACCGCCCTGGGGCAGGGATGTAGGTCCTTTAGCTTGGACGGGTGTTGTTACATTCATTGTAACATCTTGTCGTTTTCTGTGTGCTGTGCTGTGCGACTAGCAGCAGTATCCTGTGCTTATTTTTCTTATCTCTATGCATACAATTATTATTTTTAAATCAAAAAGAGGATGTCGTATCAATACTTCAAAATAAATATAGCCATTGCCGAGCCACCGTGCTCACAGCAGAGACTTCTGTTTGTGTTATTGCGGTGAAAGTGGAGCACAAAGACCTACTGTAGGCTTCTTCATTTGAGAAGCCTCTGCCTGTATTGCTACTTCTTCATTTGAGAAGCCTCTGCCTTTTTTATTATTATTTTTTACTAAAAGCCATGTAGTGCATGCAATGGAAACATGCAGCAGCCATGGTGGTGGGGGCCAGGCATTCCATTGACCAACTGGTCTCGACATCGTCACGCTCTGGACGCACCAGATAAAAAAATTAATGGAAGTATGAGAGAAAGAGAAAGAACAGGGGGAGCGGGAGGGGAGGGTGGGGGTAGATTGAGAAAGAGAGAGTGCATGTACATGAGAGCCTGTGGCTCAGCAAGTTCATGTAGCAGGTTTACAAGGCGTCAGTTGCTTGCATTCAGTTGTTGGACAACAGGTGATGGTGGACCATCTTCTTGAACTGCAGCATCCCCTCCTTGTATGGCTGCTGTGCGAGGATTCTCCGAGGCAGGGAGTTCCATGCGCTCAGCACGCAAGCAGAGAAAGCCTTGGCCATGGTAGAGCGGGAACGGCGAGGCAGGCTACACGCCAAGGGAAAGCCGTGTGACTGGCGTTGCTGGGCGGAGAGATGGGTGTTGGGGGTTTCATCCGCCAGCTGGAGTGGTTTGGGCATAATCGCTTTTAAGGGGCTCGGCGGTGGAAGGAAGCAGAGCTTGTCTAGGAAGCTCGGGGTCGCCACCCTGCGCCTATGGTCCAGGCTTGGTACGAAGACTCCAGGGCCTATCAGCTTTTGTGCCTCCATTGCTACTTCTTCATTTGAGAAGCCTCTGCCTGCATTGTTACTTCTTCATTTGAGAAGCCTCTGTCTGCATTGTTACTAAACACACATTTATTGACACAGCACAGGTTTTGGGTTTCCAGCACAATGGAGATTACTATCATCAGTAATACACAACGGCACACAATGAAAACCTTAGGTAAATTCCGTTGTGACTCAGAGTTTCATGGCTGAACCAATAATCAGACAAATTGGTTCAGCCATGAAACTCCGAGTCACAACGGAATTTACCCAAGGTTTTCATTGTGTGCCTTTGTGTACGCCACTCTGCCTGAATCAGGTGTTGAGCACTTTCGCAGAACCTAAGTCTACTGCCTCTGTGTATCATCAGTACTACTGAGTGCTCAGCCGTACTTTTAGATGAGCGCGTCTCATTCACTGCTTGCCTGTGTCTCAATTTGTATACAGACATCAGCAAGGAGATGTACCTGCCAAATACAACAACCATCGAGGGCGAACAAACTATTTCGCTGAACTCCTCGTTTGTGTTTGGCTCAACATTTAAAACATACCGCAGCATGAAAGTAAGTTATCAAGGTACTAACAGTCTGCTTATTGCAAACAAGAAGTCTTTGATTAAGCACAGCGCATAGCGCATAGGTAGAACACATAGGCAGTGTATGATTTTATGCCATTCCTAGCTACGAAGCACAGTTCGTCCAGTGGACAAATGTGTCCATGAATGACTGGTTCATGAGCTACGGGCCATAAACCTTGAATTTCACTCAGCTTGAAGACTCTGTGGATGATTGGAACAAAATACTGTCACTGAGTATTTGCATTTATACCGTATGCTCAGCCTCTTGTGCACTGTTGCGTGCGGGCTTTTAAGAAGTACTGCACTGTCGTTAAGACCCGCAGGATTTCTGACAATGTGCCCAGATTGAAATTTTGAAATTTTCACACGTCCGATTCTGCGAAAGATTCCCTGGGATTCTATGTCATATGAAGGCATACCGCACAGGGAATATCTGGACTTGAGACGAGCTTTTCATTCAGGTAGATTGAATTGGTAACTGCTTGATTAGTTTACATTTGGCTGCTGTTCGAAGCGGCGTCCAAAACTATCCTGGGTAGAGGCTATGCAGGTAGCTGGCTAGAACCTGGTACATTATAGTTCTCCCTTTCTGGGGGGGGGGGGGGGAGGGGGATTCCTTTCCTATTCTGACTTGTCTGTACCAAGCTGTGAATGATTGGCTGAGATACAAGTGAAAGTGCAGTAAATGTTTCACATCTTAATACACTGCAGCACAACCAGCAAAAGAAGGAGGCCGTGGATGGATTATTAACGCTTTTCATGACTATCGCACCCAAGTGACCGATAGTGGCATTTGTGGCAAAGTGATTTCTTCCGCTACCAACTTTGCACGAGGCGAATGAGTAAAACCTGACCCCGGCTTGAGAGCCTCTTTTGTGGGTCGTACGGGCTTGCCTCTTCCCAGTAGGAATATTTGGTTGTTGACTTGTTGCAAGCAGTATGTAAGGACTACCTGGGATGTGCTGCAATGGTTTTGTATAAGGTTCTCTTTGAATCCCAAATTGTCCATAGCAAATTATTTCTACTGCATTATTCAGCCAAGTATAGAAAATCAAACAAAACCGGCTTTAAATAACGAAATTGTGTTGCTGTGTAGGAGTTGCATTTTAATAGAAAGTATATTTTCGCAGTAAAAGAGTATTTATTTGTAGAGCTTGTGTTGATACAGATTCCTAGGTTCGAACCCCAAGATGGGCAGTTAGTTACATTTTTTTCTCTCCTTGCGTATTTTGTATCTGCATGTTATTACCCTTGCCGTGAGTCGCTCATGGGTAATGTATGAGTCGTGTATGGCTAAACCCGTATTTCCCCACTTTACCCGTATGACTGTCTGTTGAGAACTGTGTGTGGCTGCTAGTATTAATGTTCCAGAATGTTCCAGAGCTGTGAACTGTGATTGGCGAATTATACTAATGTTTATAGAATTTCGTCGGCGACCGGTTTTCGTAGATTGCTGATTGGTTAATGACCCAAAACATGGCTGCCGGTTGCCGGACTTGTGTTCCCTTGCTTTCTTCTTTCTTGTTGCCTTTCTATCCCTTTGCATTCCAAGTGTGTATAATATTTCTTTCCTGATAACTATTGGTAAACTACGAAGTGAGTGTTTAGATTGAGTGAGTGGGATTGCCTCCGGGGCCAGCTATTACATTGGTGGCAGCGGTGGGATTCGAACCCACGCCTCCGGAGAAACCTGTAGTGGATATAAAAAGTCACCTTCTCGATTCAGCTCGTCCGCCCAAATGTCGTGATTTTGCAAATTTGTAAAGAAGCAAACACACACACACACACACACACGCACATGCACACACACACACACACACACACACACACACACACACACACACACACACACACACACACATACACACATACACACACACACACACATACGCACACATGCATGCACACATGCACGCACACATGCACACACACACACACACACACACACACACACACACACACACACACACACACACACACACACACACACACACACACACACACACACACACACACACATATGCACACACATACGCACACATGCACACACACACACACACACACACACACACACACACACCACACAGTTTTCTTCATGCCATACATCCCCCGTTTTGTTCCTTGATCCATTTGTGGTGACTCGCTATGAAGCCCCATTGAGATTCATGCAAGACGAGACGAGATCAGGATAGCAACATCAAGCACGAAGAGGACTGAAATTGGCCACCATCGAAACCAATAGGTTTATTTCTTTTTTTTTGTTTCCAGGTGTCCTTGGAAGGATGGATTGCTTTCGACACTGGTTTCTCGGGAGGCTATAACATCAATAGCCGAATCAGCGATCACTTCTCTATCGTAGCCCCTTTCTGGACACATCAAAATGCCACAGTCAATTGCCACAACGGTACAAAGCTTCAGGTGCATGTTGTGAGCTCAACCAGTGATCCTTACACTTTTCAGATGATCAAAAAAGAAGTCGCGCCTTTTGCCGACAATTTCAACCCCACCGAAGCAGTTGTTGTGACGTGGAGGGAAATCCGGGAGAGCACTACGCACACAGAGGTGAGTAAGAAAACTTGACTGCAATGGCATGCAGCATATGAACGAGTGTTTCATGTGTGGCTGGGAGTGAGAGTGGGTGAACAGTTCGGGAAAGTAGTGCAAACTGTTTGAAAGCTCACACACAATAACATTACTATAACATATGCACAATGGTTCTAGACATTGTCCTCTGTTCTTTTGCAATCATGCACATCTAGGTTGGTCATCTTCACGTTATTGTGACATATTAGATCTTGATTGCCTCCCTGCTTTCTCTCCCCTCTCCTCTCACCCAAGCCATTCAGCATAAGCGAAGCTGAGGACGCAGCATACTGCTGCTACACTTCAACCTGGGAATGCTTATCATAATAAATTATAATAATGACAAAAACACATTAGTATACTTCAGCATGAGCAGACTAAAGATGACTTGTCATTGTTTTTAGCTGTTTACATATCCAAGTTGGGCCATACTAGGAGTTTGTTTCGCAATGGAAAACCCCAAATTAAAAGACCTGTCCTTGGAGACAAGACCAAGCATATTTTTTGGAGAACCAGTGCGCCACTCCATGCTCTATAAATATCATTTCGAAGAATTCAACCTCCTCAGTTAGGAATTCTGCCATAGAATCTCGCGATGAGGTCCACTCACTTACAGATGTACATGTATGATGGCGCCGAGACATGCGAACTTGTGGGCGCCTTTCTTCTCAACCAGCTCTCAAGCCACGTCGATAGATCCGCTATCGGTCTCTATAGAGACGATGGACTGGCCGCTCTCAAGGGCACCAGCCCACAGGCTGCAGACCGCCTCAGGAAAAAAGCTGACTGAAATCTTCAAGCGCTTCGACCTAAGAATTACCATCGAAGCGAACTTGAAGGTGGTGGATTTCTTGGATGCCACGATGAACCTGGACACCGGGAAATTTCAACGATCCGAAAGCCAAATGACAACCCGCTCTACGTCAGCAAGCAGTCCGATCACCCGCCTGGGATCACCAACAACATCCCTGGTGCTGTCTACAAGCGCCTTTCCACTATATCAAGCGACGCCGAGGCATTCAACCATGCAGCCCCGGTGTACCAGACCGTATTAAAGGCCAGTGGATACAATGAAGTGCTGAACTTTCAGTCCGAGGCACATGAGCAGAGGGGCAGGAAGAACCGCAGCCGGAAGGCCATATGGTTTAACCCCCTTACTCCAAGAACGTCAGCACAAACGTCGCTGGTAGGTTCCTGAGCCTTGTCTCCAGACGCTTCCCGAAAACATCCAAGCTCGGGAAGATGTTCAACCGTAACACCCTGAAAGTGAGCTACAGCTGCATGCCCAACATGGGAGCGGTGATCAACAGCCACAACAAGAGCAACCTGCGAGAGCCAGAACCGTTGAAACTAAGGCATGCAACTGCAGAATCAAGGAGTCCTGCCCGCTGCGCAGAGAGTGCCAGACGGAGGCGATAGTGTATGAGGCCACTGCAGAATCTACCAGCAAGATTTACATCGGCCTAACAGAGACACCTTTCAAAGCCCGTCATGCCAACCACCTGACCTCCATGCGTCATGAAAATTACAAAAAAGCACTGAGCTTGCAAAACACGTATGGAAACTGAAGAGCGAGGGAAAGCCGTTGACCATTACATGGAAGGTACGGGAGAAGAGCCGATCATACAGATGTGAGTAAAAAAATGCAATCTATGTACCGCGAACATATTCCACATCCTGACTACACCCAAGAAGCTCCTGCTCAACAAGTGGTCTGAGATGACCTCGAAATGCAGGCATGAGAACAAGTTCTACCTCGCAAATTTCGCACCTATCAAATGAACTGACCAAGTACTGTACTGCGCTTTGCCTGAGCACCCCAATATCAATTACTAATAACACAATCCCTTGGCCTGCTGTTGGCTATGCCACTCTGCTCACGCCTGCCCGTCACCCGAAGACCCCCTAGCGATCTCACTGGCCCATTGCCCGCCATCCTCCTGGCACCTCCACCCATCTGCTGTACACTGCCTCCCCATCGCCTCTTTCCGCGCTTTCATGCTCACACCTGCCTGTTGCCCGCCACCCTCCTGTCGCGCCTTGGTCCGCACCAGCTTTCTCCCCATACCTTGCACCAGATTCAGCGCTAACTTTGTTTATGCTTGTGGCCCCAGTGGCGTAGCTCAGGCAATATTTGTATGGATACTAGATACATGTATATTTGGCCAACCAAGTCTAGATGTATTTGAGGTCCTTGATACAGATAACACATGTTATTCAGACTTGGAAACGGTCAGCCACGCGTAGTTTTCCAGCCAGTAGCAACTGAACCTTATGTAACAGATGTACTGACCGCGTGCTTTCATCGCCAAGAAGCCATACCGTATGCATGGACTGTTAAACCTCCTAGTAGGTGGTCGGAAATGGTGCTGCAGTAGCTCAAACGTCTCCCTTAAACTTAGCGGAAACTGACAACGTCAGCCACGAGCCCTGCGCACCAGCGATCGTCCTTGCACTTCTCCCTGTTTCCAGATCATCAAACGTTCACAAAACGCCGGCATCGCCAACCAGTTGCGGAAGAAGAGTACCGGCTTCAGGTCGCGCTGCAGGTTCCGGAGAATCATCTTCTACAAGACAACTGGGACCATCCTCGGGTGACGACAACTCCCCCAACGTTCCAGACTAATATTGAGAGTCGGAGATTCTCGGAGGGTCCACACTTTCGGGCTGCCCTGAAGCGAATTCGCCGCCAGAGTCGAAAGAATCCGGCACCAAAACAGCGTCAGCGCTCGAAACTTCGAAGAGTTGTCCGAACAACCGCTATCATGACGCTTGGAAGAAGTCGCGGAAAACACATCTCCAATTTTTGTTTGGTGAAAGAGCTTTACACATGTACCTGCCACAATGACAGAACTTTGAAATTGGTGGCGAAGAATAAAAAGAAAATGGAAAAAACTGAAACTTTCGAAACGTGAGTACATTCTGGTAGACCACTACCCCATGTACAACCCGGTTGCTATGGGAGTGAAAAAGACTGTGACTTTCCGACTTCGATTTCGACTCCGGTTTTGCTAGTGCAAAAAGTGGGTGTGAATCCGCGTTGCACCGGTGCTGTGCAGCACTGTTGCAGTGATGTGGTTCACACAGAGAATGCGAACAGCGGTTCAAATACAACTAGAAGCCTATCCTCGAGCCTCACAAAGGACTATGTACATTGACTAGATGCCCTACAAGATGTCCTACATGTAGATCCTGCGAATTCTTCTTCAGTCAACAGTAGACTCCACGCGTGAAGTCAGTGCCTGTAGACTTGTGCATGAACTGGTACTAGTAGATCTACAGTGCATTTTGACATATCCTGGCCAACCACGTATGGATACCTGACTGCAAAGTATCCACTCTGGCTACGCGCCTGGGCCCTATGTTTTTATAAGCATACTGTTGGGTAGATCCGAGTATCAGTTGTCTGATGATTGCCTAACGGCATGAAACTCAGCCTGGGAGTTACAATCATCCTGAACGTTCTCCGCTGAGTCTGCAATGTACATGTATATAGATGCCCATGTCCGCCTCAGAAGCCCTGGTATGTATGTATGTATGTATGTATGTATGTATGTATGTATGTATGTATAACTCATGATCACAAGGTGATCGTAGAGGCATTAATCAGCGAGAGAATTGTGAATGATGTCTCTGAATCCAACTCTATCGTGTGCTGCATGAGAGAGAGCATGCAAGGGAAGACCAGAAGCCCTGGTAAATGGTGCCAAATCAAAGTTTGGATAAACATGCTGCAATTACCAATACATGGCCATCTGGGCAAGAAACAAGTATTATTAGAGAAAAGAAAAAGGACCAAGGAACTACAAGTTACGCTATTATATCCACTAACACCACCAGTTACAAAACAATCAGCTAATGCCATAACATTGCACGACACTGACCGACGGTACTGACATTCCACAACTAACTGGCTAACAGCTCTAGCACATCTTGGATTCGCACTCCAACAGCCTTCCAACTTGGAAGGTTCTAAGTTATAGAAATACCATAAGGAGGGGAGTCCAATTAAGCAAATCCCTATTTCTTCTATAGAGTAGTTTCACATCTATCACATGACCATACAAGACGGCCATGTTGGTTTCAACTCTACTCAAGCCCTGCATCTATGCGCCACATGGTGTCGGCCATGTTGGTTCTTTCCACTGTTCACATGACATGATCACTTTCCGCACAAATTTGGTCACATGACAGAGATGTGAAACTGCTCTATTGCTACAACTGTATGAATATGAATAAATAACCTGCATGCCTTGCACCGTTATTAGAGACCGACATATTTAGCAACAATGCTGATAAAATGTATCACATTTTGTGAGCTCCATTGTGATATCTATTTGTTGGGGAAAAAGTGATTTTGAGACAACCGTGTACCATCCTCAAACAAAGCAACCCATCCAACCTGTAAGCATGAAACATAATAATTATGGCAAATTATAAGAAGTAAAGAAGAGCAGAAGCTCCTGGAGACCTTTAGAGCATCAGTGATAGGCTAATTGCGGTCTGCACTGTGTTGCAAAGCGATTGACCTGAGGAAAGAAAAACAAGATCTGTTTTAAGACTTAGGGAGCTGGGCAGATACTGCAATCACATACATCATGTTAACATACATCCATGGCTACTCTACATGTACTGAGCCAACCCTTTATCCACATATAATCACTATTACCGTATATGCGCGCACTCTAATACTCAATACAGTTGAGGGATTTTGAAGAGGGAAAAATTCTGTCAAAAAATATTGACCGTCACCACCAGTACTGGATCTTGGGACCTTCGCTTAGCACTCTGGGTATGATAGAAACGGTACTCCTAAAATCTAACTCAGATGGAGAGCCAAAGATTTTCTTTACTATAAAAACTAACTACTGATCATATGCTCCTGACGAAAACATTGACTGTCACCACCAGGACTAGATCCAGTAACCCTCGCTAAGCAGTCTGGGTATGGTAGAAAACGCAAGGAAACGAGTTATGAAGCATCTATCCATAACTGCAACAGGGTAATAAGTAGTCAGAAAGTGCGATAACAGGAGACAAAACTGACAGGCTGCTGAGACATTCAACGACCTGAGCACCCAACAAAAATGATGAACCTTCCAAGTTGGAAGGCTGTTGGTTTTCGCACTGGAGATGCGTTAGAGCTAGGTCTCAGGTCATTGATTGTCTCAGTAGCCTGTCAGTTTTGTTCCCTGTTATCGCACTTTCTGACGACTTATTATCTTGTTACAGTCGTGGATAGTTGCTCCATAACTCGTTTGGACTCGGATGGAGAGCCAAGGATTAATTTTTACAAAAGAAAAATACCAAGGAACTACAAGTTACGCTGTAATGCATAACTTGTTTCCTTGTGTTTTCTTCTTCTATTTTACTAAAAACAACTACTGATCCTATACTCCAAGTATGCCTTTTTCAAATACTGTAAAAGCAGAAATTTTCGGTGGTGTAATATTTTCGGTATTCTCCAAAATCGGCGGTTCGGTGGAGGGAAATTTTCGGTAAAACCCGTTTTCCAGGTACGTGTACTAGTACTAAATGTATACAGGATAATTTTCGGAGCGTTTTATTTTCGATAAAAATTGTCGGCACCGAAGTTACCGAAAATATAACACCACAGAACATTTCTGCTTTTACAGTATGGTTCTAAGTTGTACCAATGATATCCCAGAAGAACAGAATCTATAGACATCAGAGTGTCTGTCCGTGTCCATAGACAGGTTGATTGATGGGTTCGTTGATTTGTCAGTTGGGGATCAATTACTCAAAATTTCACTAACTGCCTCTCTCTCTCTTTCTGTCTCTGTCTCTCTGTCTGTCTCTCTCTCTCTCTATCTATCTATCTATCTCTCTCTCTCTCTCTCTCTCTCTCTCTCTCTCTCTCTCTCTCTCTCTCTCTCTCTCTCTCTCTCTCTCTCTCTCTCTCTCTCTTTCTGTGTGTGTGTGTGTGTGTGTGTGTGTGTGTGTGTGTGTGTGTGTGTGTGTGTGTGTGTGTGTGTGTGTGTGTGTGTGTGTGTGTGTGTGTGTGTGTGTGTGTGTGTGTGTGTGTGTGTGTGTGTGTGTGTGTGTGTGTGTGTGTGTGTGTGTGTGTGTGTGTGTGTGTGTGTGTGTGTGTGTGTGTGTGTGTGTGTGTGTGTGTGTGTGTGTGTGTGTGTGTGTGTGTGTGTGTGTGTGTGTGTGTGTGTGTGTGTGTGTGTGTGTGTGTGTGTGTGTGTGTGTGTGTGTGTGTGTGTGTGTGTGTGTGTGTGTGTGTGTGTGTGTGTGTGTGTGTGTGTGTGTGTGTGTGTGTGTGTGTGTGTGTGTGTGTGTGTGTGTGTGTGTGTGTGTGTGTGTGTGTGTGTGTGTGTGTGTGTGTGTGTGTGTGTGTGTGTGTGTGTGTGTGTGTGTGTGTGTGTGTGTGTGTGTGTGTGTGTGTGTGTGTGTGTGTGTGTGTGTGTGTGTGTGTGTGTGTGTGTGTGTGTGTGTGTGTGTGTGTGTGTGTGTGTGTGTGTGTGTGTGTGTGTGTGTGTGTGTGTGTGTGTGTGTGTGTGTGTGTGTGTGTGTGTGTGTGTGTGTGTGTGTGTGTGTGTGTGTGTGTGTGTGTGTGTGTGTGTGTGTGTGTGTGTGTGTGTGTGTGTGTGTGTGTGTGTGTGTGTGTGTGTGTGTGTGTGTGTGTGTGTGTGTGTGACTTCCTCCTTTTCTATCTTCTCCGTCACCCATACCTTCCTGGTCTTGTATTTGTTTTCAGCGTAATACATTCCAAGCCGTAGTTGTCAGTGATGAGTGCCAGTCATTTGCGATTTTCAAATACCCAACTGGTGGAATTGGTTGGCATGGCTTTCCATACCCGGTCGTTGCAGCAGGAGAAACTCTGAAAGCTTCTGGATCCCGATCACTAGTCGTGAAAAATTCAATCCATAACCTGACCAATGGCTGCCATCAGCAACTGCGGGAGTCACAATATTGCCGTACAAATGTGAAAAATGTAACTGGAAACTCAACATATCTAGCGGCGCTCGTTCAATGTCCCGCTACACTTGAAATTGTGCAAGTATTCAATGTCTTTTCATTGTCTGCCAAGGGGACAACTGATGACATGAAATGCTATAAATCAAAACCGGTCACTCTGGATGGACTGCATCTTTTCTCAGTGAGTGGCATCTATTGTTGCTTCTCAAGTGCCATTTGCAATTTCTATGCACCGACTTTCATCCGTTGGCATTTTAAATTTATCTCAAAAAGTGGACTCCCATGGAGAATGTGAATTTTTCGACCAAGTCACCTTTTATCCTGTAACAAGCGAACATTAATTCAATCTTTGCAGTACTTGGGTGAACATTAAACTTGCGCGCTTTTGAATGTGATCGATCCAACACGTCAATGGGTCTTCTTGCTATCATGCAATCCATCAATGTTGACTCATTTGTTGTAGATGGTGAACTGTGAGCAAGACCCATTACCCATGCAAACAATACGGTGTGTGTGTGTGTAGCGAGATGTTGTTTTGTTGCTGATTGTTACTTTCCAGTCTCCTTTTACTTCAATTTATCTTTGCTTTCACTCAGCTCCTCCCTCTACACAAAATGATTCGACGCTAGTGGAAAAAATTGACTAAATGCTCCAATCTAGGTTTCCGCCGTCGTTGGATAGGTTTTTCTTTCATGCTACAATGATATGCAGATAGTGGCTTTTCTTGTTCCATTCTAAAGAAAACGAAGTCCTCAGCATTGCCAGGAACAGATCCAGCTACAGGGGTTTCAGTTAAGCACAAACTGAATAGCTAATACATGTACAAGCACATGCATATGCGTACCAGTAGTACGCCTGCAATATTTTAATAATACTTGGTCCGTTTCATCGCAATTGTCGCTTATCTCCCACGCACCTTTTGACAGGTAAAACCCAGTCCGATCTCGATATCTAACTCACATTCGTTTGGGATGGCAAGATCAAAGGAGACCAGAAAGAAAAAAAACATCGCGATTAGCGCCAGTGGCATCGCGATTGGTACAATTTTGATGGGAAAGTGGGAAACTTTTCGCTGCAGTGAATGCACTGCAGTGAATGCACACATTCACTGCAGCGAAAAGCCAAGCGCAGCTCAAAGACGGGAACTGTAGCAGGAGAAATCGACATCCTGACCTGGAGAACGTGACAGTCACGACCAGGCCAGCCAGCTCAGCTGCCACGTTTGAACTGCAATGACCATGATGATCTGGCGCTGGCATTCTTTGCAAGCCTGCAAACTGATGGCGAGGTGGTGGCAAACCTGGCAGCGGCAGGACAAGAGTCGTGGTCAGCGTATCCAGTAGAGCGTATGACAGCTGTCTGGAGAGGGATGTGTGCCTGATTCAAAAACATTGTTGAACACACAGTACTGTAGTGACAGACGGGTCACGCTGCCCGCGTTCCTCCAAGTGCCAAAGTGACAGCCACGACTGTTCCTTTCCCATCGCTGCCTTTATGCCAAGCGGAGAAAGCAAGAGATACTCTACGCCACCAGCTATACACACCAGCGAATGTCAGCTCAAGTGGCATCAGCTCGAGTTATACAGAGCCAGAGTCGGATAAACTAAAGTGCAGGGGCGTAGCAGCCGCTCCGGCCGGTCCGGCTTTGGCCGGACCACTTTTTCGCCCGACCACGACAACCATAGTAAAACAATGCCAAAAGTGCCCAGAATGCAGGATTTTGCACCCTAATTTAAGAAATATTCCGCGGGGAGATTCCCCCCGACCCCCCTGGCCGGACCACCGCCAACGGTGCTAAGGTGCTACGCGCCTGAAGTGTGAGTGGAAGAACGCGCTCCGTCGCTGTTTTCTTTTGTACATTTGTTGTAAACTTGCTTCCTTTCTTCGACTTGCTACATCAGATTCCTTCGCTGAATTTATTTCTTGTGGCGGACAGGAATCCTGTATCATGCTTCTTCACTATGCGTATTGGAAATTTTACAGAGCGGTGAAAAAACTCATGTTCTTAGTTGCGATAGATAAGCGACAATTGCGATGAAACAGACCAAGTAATAATAATAATATCTTTATTAGGATGACCCAGAGGCTTGTCGCCTATCAAGGGGTTCACCGCTTTTAGGGTTTCTGTGGGGTGTTGTTTAGGCAGTCCTCTCTGCAGCAAGAGCTACTAAGTAGCAGTGAGTTGTACTCATGAAATACTGTTGCTCAAGCCAACCTGATCCACAGATGCTCTGTAATCCTATGATGGGAATCGGGATGGGGTCCTTTTCGGGGCGAGGGTGCGTATCTCGTGAAGAATCGACTAACTGGAGGTCACACGGGGATGCTTGGTTGTTAGGTGCACCTAGTAGGTACGGGTGTGGAAGTTCTGATGGCAATGTCCCTCTGTTTGATGGCCTTCTGTCACTGCAACTACAGCGGTGCTGCTATGCTGACAGTAGTGGACAGCTAATCGAGACTGGTAGCGGAAAACCCTACCAAGGAATCTCACCAACTGACCAAAACCTTCTCACACGCTGTCAGAATGCTGGAATACCGTCCTATTTCTACAGTAGACGTTTGCAGCCACAGGCAATGGTAAAACGTGTTGCTGTCCAGCAAAGTAAGTCGTTCAGCTTGTTTTTCGTCATGACTTTGTCTGTGTGAGTGATGTGCTTGTGTGCTAGCAGGAGTGTGTGCGTGGGTGAGTGTGAGGGGAGGGGGGGGGGACCTACACACAGATATTCCTTTGGAACATTGGCAATATCAGTGTTTTATAGGATTTTCTCACTTTCAGAACAATACATGGTGTTCATGTTAGCATCTGGAGTACATGCAATTGTCCAAGTAGAGGGGGGGGGGGGCGTTGTGGTGTTGGGTAGGCTAGGGCAAGATCATTTACCCTGCACTGGACTTTGTAATGAACATTAATTTTTTGGTTTTGAGGTTCCAGGTTCCAGCGTGACGTGGTGTGACTTGGTCATGCATAGTGTGACGTGGTGTGACTTGGTCGTATGATTAGCATAGTGTGACATGGCGTGACTTCAGTGCCGCTGATGATTACATGGCGATGAGCATGGAACTCAGAGTTACACTGAACTAGCCGGCTTGTTGCACTGTGCTACTGTGTAATACCCTCTGCCTGTGCAGCATCTTTCTTTCTTTCTTCTGTAATGAGCACTCCGGGTGCGCCCTCTGATGGCTTTATCTTTTACATTCTATGAGGTAATGAATCACGCTTTCTACAAACGCGTTTCATCGATTTGACGTGATTTGATCACGTGACGTTACTGGCACTCTACCGGCGGAAAAGTTTTACTGCCGCGGCTGCTGCGGCGGAAACAGCATTCCGGCAGTAAAAAAAGGTGCTGAGACTGGGAGTAGGGGAAAATCCCTTCTCAGTGCCGCAGTGAGAGCCACATAAGTAACGTTAGTTCATCGGTAGTGCAAATGTCCTACACCGTTAATTTTACTGCCATTCACGGTTCGACGGGGTTCTCGGTAGTCAGAACACGCCCAAAGAGGTTTTCACAACCAACGCCGGCTGGATTCACCAATACTTGGGAAATCATTGTGCCTGTCCTTTTGTGCTGTGGCTGTCTGCCTTAGGTAACTGTTTTGGTGACCCTCATTTGATCCGGCTGGATGGCACCGCATATGAATTCCACAATGTTGGTGAGTACGTACTTGGAAATGCCAGCAAGGCCAACTACTACCTGGCTGTTGTCGCTAGAATGGAAATTTTCCCCATTCCCAATGCTCTCAGCTTCACATCCATCACCCGTGTAGGAATTACAATTGGTGAGTGAGAAGGTTACGCCTGTAAACAAAGCATACTTGTGTGTTTCTCCTCCTCATTCTACTCCTCCTCCTTCTCCTCCTCCTCCTACTTTCGTTCTTTCTTGATCTCTCTCTGTCCTTGCATCAGCGGAGCATTTTTTGGTGGTAGGGTGGCAGCTGTCACTCACGCCGTACCCCGCCCCGATGGCAAGATCCCCAAGTTATAACCCTTCAACCACCACCTAAAAATGTGCCCTGGGTTGTACGTCCTTCCTTCTTGTGTGCATTACTTTCCCTCCAATTATCTCATTATAGCGTTCCCTAGAATGCTCCCTTGTGCTTGGAATGACAGGTTTACTCTCCAGTAGGCTGCACTAGAAAAGTCCTTGCTCCCGGCAACTCAACTGACTGATGTTTTGAATACATCAGTCAAAGGCTACTGACTGCCCCTTTTGCCATATTCACCAGAAACAAAAGACCTTTCCGGTGCGGCCCAGTGAGACTGCTGTTAGACATGTCATATAACGAGGAAGTAAATCTAACGTTTTAATGAGTTGCATTTCTTCTTTGTAATACGTTCTGCTGAGGCTGTAGTGCCGCATATGTGTCATGTGAAGATATGCCCGAAGACTGCAAGTTCGTTAACATATCTTCTCGCTGTTGTTGATGATTTTTCTTTTACTTCGCAAGGCGTTAACCTCTGAATTTCGGACAATCATAAAATTGCGACTCGTTATAATAACGCTTGTCTCACAGTGGTCTATCATAATGTTCTTAGGGAGAGCAAATGCACTGCAGCACACACTTGACTTTTTCAGCTAACTGAAATTTGGAGCGTGATGTCTCTGAAATACTGTTTTCACAGAACTCTTTTGTGTGGCTCCATTGTCATCGTGTCATCGTTTTGGTGTTCTGCTTGAACAAACTACAGGTCAAGGATCCAACAACACCACCATTGAGGCATTCGCTAAGACCGGTTCAAAAGGCATCACTGTTCTCGGCGACTTAACCGATGCTCAAATCACTGCAGGTCGTCACAGCAATTTCGAGTTCAGGAACGGTGGCTTGGTTGCGTCAGTCGGTGGCTTTAGTGCTAATATAACTGTTCAGACAAGCAAAATCTTGTTGGTTGCTATGCAACGTGAGTCATCAAAAGAGACAGACAGAGACAGATGCGTTGGCACACAGACACACATGCAGAAATGTGTGTATGTGTGTGTGTGTGTGTGTGTGTGTGTATGTGTGTGTGGGGGGGGGGGGTGGGGGGGGGGGTGGGGGGGTGGGTGTGGGTGGGTGGGTGTGGGTGGGTGGGTGTGTGTATTGATTTAGAGAGGGGATGGTTTATGTGTTCTGCAACTCTCCCTTACCCTGCTTATACCTACCAATCACACAAGAACCTTGCAGGAACATTCAGGGGTGTCGGACACGGTACGGTCACTACGGTATTGACCGTACCACTTTTGCCCCAGGTACCCCGTGAATCAATAAAAAAAAACACTGATCTGGACTCTAAATTTCCCAAATTTTCCACTCCGCCACCCCTCCCCCCCCCCCCCCCCCACGAGTAAACTGTACTTCAGATGACTGACCGCACCACCCTAAAATACCTTCCAGCGTCCCTGAACACGATTATAGTTAGCAATGGGACATGCTTAACGCCTAGAGAGCAGGATAAAGTGCACAGCGTCAGTCAGTGGTTTTGCCAACGGGAGCCAATTATACAGCACCATTCACCGGATTCTCTTGAGACATTGCATTGCTGTACCACAGCTTTGCCTATCCATGCAAATATTCTCAAACTGTTGATAAAATCCCTACATCGCTAGTGTTTATGCTCTTCCATGCTTTTGAAACTTGAGACTTTATTATTTTTATTTTTACGTAGTCAAGTGGTGTGCTTCACTGTCCGAAGAGTGCTCAATAGCCATGTAGAGCAGAGCCTTGTACACAAGAGAGAGATTGGAAGCTTTGTTACAACTCTGAGATTCACGTATTACTACGATCATCAGGCAACGTTTGCCTGATGATCGTAGTAATACGTGAAACTCATAGTTGTAACAAAGCTTCCAATCTCTCTCTTGTGTATTTTTATTTTTTATTTATTCCTGTTTTACTAGGGAATTCCCAACAGGCGGCGACGCCTTTTTACAGGGAACCAACCCTAGGAACATTTTGATAGATGCGTGAAATTTAGCTGGTGACCTAGGCGTACGGCAAGCCGGTAGCAGTGCATTCCACCTATCAGCACCTAAGTAAGAAATTGCACTGAAACCAAATCGGGTGTTAGCACGGGGAAGAACAAGAGCAGCAGAAACTTGTCCACGAATGGTGGCTGCAGTGTGGGGACCATTTGCTCGCAAGGTAAAGCGATCGCGCAAAGGGAGCTAGCCAGTCCATTCAGGCAGCGATAAACAAGTACATAAGTTTTCTAGTTAAGGCGTTGCTCGAGGGCATACCAGTTTGTGTAGCGGTATAGAACATCAGTGGCTTTGAGTTGAATTACCATGAATGATTGGAAAAAAATAGGTTCAAATTGTGTTTTGTTCCATGCTTCACATTTATAACAACAAACACGTGTCATTATAGAAAATGAAAGGGACTTGTCATTTCTTTGCTTTTCATAAGCATTCTCTTTACTGTTGTCTATGTTGTTGTCCTTGCTGTTGTTTTTTGTTCTTCTTCTTTATTCCCGACAACAGTCCCGCAGGCAGCAAACTTTGTCGGACTTTTGAAATCGGAACCAATGCCTTCTAATGAGTGTAAGGTCTATACCCATACACAGCTGGCTGCTCCTCAGCCAATATGGTTGTTGTTGCTGCAGAGGAGGGGGGGGGCGGGGTGGGGGGGGGGGGGTGTTTTTAACTATCTATCTAACTATCTATCCATTTCTATCTATCCATCCAACTATTTATCTCTCTGTCATGGCCGCGCGTTGGCGGGTTTGTGACTTGGCTTAGATCAGTCTACTGGCTACCCAGGTAGACGACCAATATAGTCGCCATCCAAGTTGTTAGCTCACACCGAATGACAGGTTTCTAATTCCACTTGAACAGTGTTTATTGAACCATTGCAATGCTACAGATCGAAAGATCAAGCGTGAAGAGTCAAAGACCCAAAGCAGGATAGAGTCGGAGGAGTAGCGAGCTCCCCGAGAGTTGAGGATGAATGTTAGCAAAACAGCTCCTTATGCTACATTATGTGATCAAAAGTACACAGCGGCAAGAATGCGTAAGGATTATTTCTATATTTCAAACAGTGGTGCAATATATGCAATCAGCCAAACTAGAATATGGTACAAAGATCAATACGGGGAGCCCGCTCACCCAAATGTGAATAGTAGTGATCTCCAAATGCTGGCATGATCTTGATCCACGATCTGGTGGCTGGGATGCATTGCAGCAGGCAGAAAGCGTAGCTGTGTCGTTCTTGTGGCTTCACCCAATATGGGCTCTTCCCCCAAACATAGCAGCAGACGGCAATGCCGTGTTCCCTCCAACGCGTTAACGGGCCTGGGGTCTAGAGTACGCGAAGTACTGTCGACCCTTTGCGTCTTACGACACAAGAGGCGTCACTCTTGCTCAACTAACAAAGGTATCAGCTCCTTTGCAGGACTAAGCGTGGTCACCTCAAGCCCAAAAGTGTAGTGAGTACAATGCTGACGACTTGTACTGAAGGTGTGGCCGACGTACGACCACACTTTGAGGCTCTAGGCCACGAGTTGTAAGCCATGATTGCTCAACTAACGAAAGTGCCAAATCTTTCGCAGGACTAATCATGGTTCTAACAGAACTAGAATATTTCGGAGCCCAGCTTTTCGCTTCTGAACTCAATGCATAGTCGCATTCACGACGAGTCTGATCCGGGTCATGACATCTCTATTGTGTGGATTTGATGTATCTCATAATCTATCCCCTTTCCCTTTGGCTAACTCTATTTCTGTTTTCCTGCATACCTCTCTGTCTCTCTGTCCTGTGTGGGTGTGGGTGTGAGTGAGTGGGTGGGTGTCCATCTGCCGGTTTACCAGTTTTAATTCGAGTCTGTGTATTCGATCAGGTGTGCATGTCTGAGTTGACCTTGCCAGGCTGTGTGTGTGTGTGTGTGTGTGTGTGTGTGTGTGTTTGTGTGTGTGTGTGGTGTGTGTGTGTGTGGTGTGTGTGTGTGTGTGGTGTGTGTGTGTGTGTGTGTGTGTGTGTGTGTGTGTGTGTGTGTGTGTGTGTGTGTGTGTGTGTGTGTGTGTGTGTGGTGTGTGTGTGTGTGTGTGTGTGTGTGTGTGTGTTCATGTGTGCATACCTATGTTGCACTACAGTCCAAATTACTGCAGCCACAAGTCCCTTCCAGTATGCTGGTGCCGAGGAGAGCTATACAGCGTTGAACCCAGACAAACAAGCTACTGTGGGAAAAGTCAACACATTCCTGGCCACAGGTGCCATCAACACCACGTGTGGAGGTGATAGTTCTTGCGTTGCAGACTTCCTCGCCAGTAACAACGCATCCATCGCGATGTCGACTCTTGAAGCCGAGAAAAGTCTCAAGGAATCCAGCACGAGAGTGTGTAAGTTGCTTTTGTGGCAGATGTGTGTTACCCATAATCAGCCTAAATATTACAGTGGTAGATGTATGGTTTGTGGAAAGTCATGCTATAGTGGTAACCAAATATAGTGAAACCTGTATTTTTTATCACATTGCACATATCTACGGAAGAAGGGGAAACAAAACGAAGACAAAACAAAAAGACAACAATGGGTGTGTAGGCGCTACATGAGCAGCGCTGGTGGGACTCCCACGACCAAGGGTCTCGGGGATCTGCGTACACAGCAAGCACCATGGGGCGGGTGCGAGAGGACTGATGGGGAGGAGAGAGAGAGAGAGAGAGAGAGAGAGAGAGAGAGAGAGAGAGAGAGAGAGAGAGAGAGAGAGAGAGAGAGACAGACAGAGAGAGACAGAGAGAGACAGAGAGAGAGAGAGAGAGAAAGAGAGAGAGAGAGAGAGAGAGAGAGAGAGAGAGAGAGAGAGAGAGAGAGAGAGATGGGTGAGTGAGGGAAAGAGAGAAAGAGGTGGAGAAATTATAAGTATAGAGAGAAAAAGAGTTCTGGGGGCATATCGCCGCTATGACTATAATGCTACTTGTAGAAAAGGGTCAACATAATGATTTGTATCCACTGATGGCAGGCCAGTGTAATACATGTACATGGCTAGGACCAGTCATGAGCAGAGCACCAGTCACTCTGTTGCAGGTGACGGTATGCAGCAATCTTGAAGCTCTGCAGGTGTTTCCGGGCTGGCTGCTTATCCAGAACTGCCTGTGGCAATCTATTCCACACTGGCATGATACAGTATGGGAAAGAGCACAGAAGGTAGTCATTTGCCGGACCCCGCACCAAGCGGAATCCTGTATTCACCACAATTCATGCATGAAGGTGCTGTGGATCCAACGTGCATCCTTGGATCAAACCGAGTCCTGTCACATCAGAATCGTTTCCACTGCACCAAGGGCGTCCAGTTAGGGCAAGTCTAACTGTAAATTGCTCGTGCAAGGAGCTGTGCATGTCGTCAACGTGAAAATATGTTGGAACAGCATTGTATGCACCAGTTGAACACTATCGGGGATTGGGTACTCTTGGTAAAATCTGTCATAACCGACGTGTGCTATAAGAGACCCTGTCTTTGGAGGCCATCTCATTGGAGACTACCTGTCTTCAGAGACAATTATTAGAGACTACCTGTCTTTAGAGACCCTCTCAGTAGAAACTACCTGTCTTTAGAGACAATTTCATTAGAGACTACCTGTCTTTAGAGACCCTCTCATTAGAGAACACGTGTCTTTAGAGACCATCTCATAAGAGACTACCTGTCTTTAGAGACCCTCTCATTAGAGACTACCTGTCTCTAAAGACAATTTCATTAGAGAGACTGCCTGTCCTTATTCATCAACTATCTTTAAGGACCGGCTTTCCAATCAAGTCCCGGCCCATCTTTTAAAAATAAGAAAATTAAATATACGACAATCTGTCAGTAGAGACTCAGAGAAGTAAAAGATAAGTGTGTTGTGATTGCATGGGTCATTTAACTTAGTGCACGTCAAATGGAAGATGTTTGCAAATCGGAAAACCCTTAGACTCGTTGCACTTCAATTCCCATGGTAGTTCAGCTGTGCCCGGCACTTTAGGCAGGTGCCAATAACAAGTTGGGCTGCATCGCTGCAAGACGCGAGTGTACTGTTTTGGTGTGAGGATGATGCGTACATTGTTTTTAGCCCCGACCCTTGGGACCCCCGAGGCTTAGTTGTTTCGCTCCCTTCCTATCAGCAGATTTGCAGGTTTTGATCAGGAGGATTTTGTGCGCGTGTGTTTTCTTTCTCTGTGGACTTTCCCCTTCTGTTTGTTAATCCTTCAAATTTGTGAGCACTGTAGTTGAGCTGCCGTGATCAGCCCTACTTGTGCAACTATATAATAATAATAATAATATATCTCCTGGTTTGCGGTGTTCTAGCTCGAGTGCCACCTTTGTTAACTGTCAAGTCATCATGGCCAAAAGATGCAGCACTCAGGAATACGCTGCAGGGTATTTTTGGACAGAACAGTTCCATTGCCATCGAAGTGAACGTCAGCGAATCTGCCAAGTTGGAATCGTTTGTTGTGAAGACGGCCATAAACTTGACAGTCGAGTCTGAGCTTAGCGGCAATGTTCTGAACATCTCTTGGACACCGCCTGCTCGTAGGCTGAGCGGACTGCAACTGACCGTGTCAGCCAACGACAGCAATGGCCAGTCAGTGGAGAAGACGATTCCGATTACACTGTGCGGTTGCCATGGTACCTGTGAGACACCACCCTCAACGCCTGTGGACGCATTCAAACAGCTGACGTGTACATCTTGTGATGCCGGTGAGTGCTGATTTCCAGGGCAAATATGCTGTCTGTATACCATTGAATCACAGCGAACACTTTCTCAATTCAAAATAATCAGGCCATGTCGCGCCTTTGGTCATACATGTAATTATAATATTAAAACAGCGGGTTGTGCATGTACTTCAAAGTAGGTGCTTGATCATGTTAATAAACGAAGTCTACAGGCATCAGAAAGTCATCAGTATCATTTAGCCGATAGCATCATGATTTATGCAGCCTACACTTTTCACTCACTTTGCGCAACCAACACTCAGCGCTCGTATAACACTGTAAAGTCCGCTGCCAGCGCCCACCCCATTTTTGCAATATCTGCTGGCCTGTACACACTGACCCCATGCACTGTCACCCCTACTGTACGAAAGTGCATCTCACACCGTAGCGCGAAGAGCTCTTTGCTACGGTAAACTATGTCTACTTTCCTGGTTTCCGAAATCTCTTTGGGCACTAGCTACGAGCTATCTCGTAGTGATTTTATGATGATGGTTGTTTTCTTTCGCAAATCCAAACAGGACTTTCTACCGAATAACAAGGTAGCGAAGAATAGAGTATTGCAGGAACCAAATACACTGCTGAGTGCTGACGGTGTTTCAAGTCCTCAGTTCCAAATTACGCAACCCTCAAAGGCAAGGTTTTTTCTCAAGCACTTCAGAGTTTTCAATAAGTTAGCAGCGACTTTGTAGGTGTATCTTCTGTGACATACCTTGTTCGACTAGCAACTGCAATACTGCGACCGGTCAAGTCGTTGAATGACACTTCGTCAGAACAATCACTGTTCCATTCTGAAAGCGCGACAGCGTGGCACTGCAGAAATTTCCTGAAAACCAGATGGATTCTACGACACTACCACATGGAGAGCGAACAACCACAAAGACGACTCATTTATTGAATTAAAGGAAATCTCGACAGAAGTTTTTTCTTTGCAGCAAGATAATGACAATCACTTTTGCAGAGCCTCCTGGTAAGAAATAGGCAGTTTGTATGTATTACAGTCGTTTTCGTATGCATTCGACCTTCATGCAAGTTTTCTACAACTATATTGACCTCAAAAAGACGAAAATAGTATGGACCCGCTGGGGTGGGCGTTTGCTGCGAAGTGGGCGTTTGCAGCTGACTTTACGGTACAGTCGAAAGCAAAACCCATTGTCAGTTCTTTCAAACATGCTTCTTTCTAAATTCTTCCGCGTATTTGTAAGACCTTTATAGAGGTTACTGAGTGGCTTGACAGGTACCGTATTTTCCGGGGTCTAAGCCGAAGCCCCCCTTTTCAGGCCCAAATTCGTATCTTTTTGACATTCGCGGTATAAGCCGCAAGTCGGATTTTGAATTTTTGGCCTTCTAAACTTGATGCGTACTAGTGCTTGCAAGACATTTACCAATGGTTAATTACTCCCGTAGCTCTGCAAAAGACGTTACTTCAGTAACGTCTGGCGCTAGCCAGGGTCCACACAGCTTTAATTCCGTGTTTGTTTGTTTGTTTATGGCATCGGCATGCCTGGCGCTATCCCGTACCTGTCCCGTACCATACCATCAAGGATAGCATCGGCATGCCTGGCGCTATCCCGTACCTGTCCCGTACCGTACCATCAAGGACAGCATCGGCGCCGGCATGCCTGCGCTATCCCGCACCTCTCCCGTACTGTACCATCAAAGACAGCATCGGCGCCGGCATGCCTGCGCTATCCCGCACCTGTCCCGTACCGTACCATCAAAGACAGCTAGCTGTCCACAATATTCAACTAGGGCTAATGCAAGATCATAACATGAAGCAACTTGGAAGAATGAGGATGTATGCAAAGTGTATCGGGGGAATGCATGCAGGGCGATAGTGCGGGTTCGAATCCTAGGTTATGTCTTGAAAAGAATAGGAGAAATGAAAAATTTATAACATCCCTATGCTTTTTTTGCCTAGGTCATCAAGGTGGTAGATGGTGTCGTATTACCCTCGAATGCAAAGAGAAAGTTGAATCTTGCCAGGCAAAAAAGCATAGCATAGGGCCCTGAGCTTCCAAGCTCTCTCGTCTCTTTGTTTGTCCCTCACTCTGAACTGACAAGATATGAACATCGCACAACTGCAATGATGGATTTTTGTTCATGCAAAGCACATAAAAATAGTCGAATATCACCATACATGCATTTTGTGCATAGCACACCGTATTATTATTATTATTATTATTATTATTATTTGAAACTCGGGTATTGAGCCAATAATAAAAGTAGAAAGGAAAAGGACATATGGAAACGAGTTAAGAGTAACTCTCCACCACTGTAACTAGATACTATATACAGTCAGAAAGTGCAACAACTAGGCACAAAACTGACAGAGTACTGAGACATTCGACGTCCTGACACCTAGCTTCAACACATCTCCAAAGCTTCCCCCTTCTTAACTTATCTTTGATATTTTTGACCCGCCCAAGTTGGGTGGTGTGCTGCTTTGCTGCTTCGAATTGTAGTTAGACCGCTTTGTCGAATCGCCTACTGGTCTCGTCATCGTCCAGTGACAATCGACATTCTTTGTTCCGTTGGGACTGTAGCTTGTGCTCGTTTTCGTTGCGCTTGCCTTCCCCTCTTTGGTCTTTCCATAACCTTGAACCTTCCAAGTTAGAAGGCTGTCGGTTAGCGCTACGGAGATGTGTTGAAGCTAGGTGTCAGGACGTCGAATGTCTCAGTACTCTGTCAGTTTTGTGCCTAGTTGTTGCACTTTCTGACTGTATATAGTATCTAGTTACAGTGGTGGAGAGTTACTCTTAACTCGTTTCCATATGTCCTTTTCCTTTCTACTATTATTATTATTATTATTATTTAATATTATTACTTAGCATACTTAGTATGCGGCAGGCAGGCATAGTGGGATGGTCTAAGACCATGATTGAGAAACAGAGGGTACCAGGTTCAAGTCCTGCTTGGAAGCGGAAGGATTTTTTCCAGCCGTGCTGCGACCCACAGTTAATTGGGAGCTCGTGGCCTGGCACGAGGGAAACATGGATGCAGGGAATGGGATTTCGGTCTTTGACCACTTTGTGGCGGGTCTGATCTACTCACCTCCCACCGCTTAGGAGCTGCATCTGCGCCTTGATCCAAGAGGGTGGTGGCGTTCCTGGGGATGCGGAAAACTGGGCCTTTGGCCGAGTCTCACGCGAACCGTGAATTTTTTTTACTTAGTATTTAAATATTCGACGAGGAGACAATACTTTTAATATGGCAATAAGTAGGACGAGCTGAAGTGACATTTGGATTACTTAATCAACAATGTAAGCGATGGAAACGATGTAAAAAACAATATAAAGGGTAAGGAAGATACATGTATGAAGAAAAAAGGCCATGGAAAGAAAGATGATTCGAACAAGTTTTCGTACAACACTCTTCAGGAATCACCGTTGTACTAAAGAACAAAATGAGAACAAAGGAAATAATATAGCAATCAAGGTAGGGTAGCAAGATACAATGACAGCACTGGAATATCGAGGTGCGTGCAGAAAAAAAAAGCGTGCAGAAAACAAGGGTATACAAGTAAGTGTGTATCAGCAACAAAAAAAGTGAGAACAAATGATAATAATAAAAATAACAAACAAGAAGGTGACCAAACACATTATGCACAAGTCGCAACAACGTTGCCACACTACACAAACGAACATTATTTGAACAATTTTAGGATAATAACACTATCTTTCTGGACACACAAATTCGGCTTATGAATGCGCTGACAAACAGCTTCCAAAACTTGTAACTACAACAGACCATGCCGAGCACGGCACAAAACAGAAAAACAGGTGATTCCTGAAGAGTGTTGTACGAAAACTTGTTCGAATCATCTTTCTTTCCATCGCCTTTTTCTTCATACATGTATCTTCCTTACCCTTTACATTGTTTTTTGCATCGTTTCCATCGCTTCCATTGTTAATAAAGTAATCCAAATGTCACTTCAGCTCGTCCTACTTATTGCCTTATTATTATTTATTCTTCTTTTACAAGGGAATTCCCAACAGGCGTCAGCGCCTTTTTACAGGGAACCCTAGGTATAATTTGATGGATGAGCGAAATTCAGCTGCCACGGGTGAACTAGACATGCGGCAAGCCGGTGGAAGTGTATTCCACCTTTGGATTGGATTGGATTTTTTATTTATAGTGGTGACTATAACAGACAATTGCCTAATAACAATAGACCCACTCGAGGGAAAGATGCAAAAAGATATGAATAATTAATATATTAGACTACCGGTATTGGATACGTGATCATGTCCACCTAAGGGCGTACAAGTTAGTATGACTGTATAGAAAAGTGGTGGGGGTCATTCTATCCAACGAAAATATTCTCTTTAATGCTACGCGGCTGGCAGTAAGAAGCTTGTCATAATTATAGGGTTTGTGATAAGCAATGAATATATGCAGTGCTGCCAAACTCAAATGTGGACTGAATGATCGATAAATAGAAAAGTTGTTTGCCAAAAATGCTGATATTCTGCTTTGCATGGACAAATGCTCCGACCTTCCTATTGACATTTGCACATACTGCATCCACTTGGGTTGAGAAAGACAGATGTTCGTCAACCAGTATTCCTAAGTACCGAGCGTAAGCAGATGGGACTATGGAAGTGCCGCAGCAGTTGACTGCGGTGCCAGGTGGCAACTCCGTGCCTGGTCGCCGGAGCAGGACAAACTGAGTCTTGGATGGGTTTAACACCAGTCCCTTCCGATCTAGGTAGCGATTCAGAGCGGCAAGGTCATCACTCAGCTGGGTTGTGATGATCTGGATGGACTTGTGCCTGATATAGAGTGTGATATCATCGGCATAAAGTTGATTCAATGCATGTTGGAAGCACTGTGGTGCATCACGGGTGTTAATGCAAAATAGCAATGGGCCGAGCACGGAGCCTTGTGGGATGCCTCTTGTGCAAGGGCGGGCCCCACCTAGCTGTTGTCCTACTCTTACTCGCTGGAAACGTCTGGTCAGGTAGCTTGCAAACCAAGCAAGTGCAGTGTCAGCAATGCCAAGCATCTTCAACTCGTCAAGGAGCTCTTGATGCTTAACTCGGTCAAAAGCTTTGCTCATATCTGCAAACACTATGCCGCAGTATTCATTATTATCAAGGACTTTGAGCCATTCGTCGACAACTAGCGCTAGGCAGTTCTCACACGAGCTGTTGGTACGGTAGGCAAATTGATTGTCAGGCACGTACATGATGTTGTGTAACTATTACTTAAAGAATGCAATCAGCTGCTCCAAGACAACTCGTTCTAATATCTTGCTCCATATGGGCGGTTGATTCATGGTCAGTATTCGGAGTGTAAGCTCCAGAGGTGATTTTTTTACTTTTTTGAGGGTTTCAGGAAAGTGCGACTAACACCCCAGGAAATACGATATCAACTGACCCAAGGGACAGCCATGTTCGATCCACATCCGGTCAACCCTGATCACTTTATACAAAATTGAGTCGCATTTACAAAGATGTGAAACCTCTCCACCGTTACCCGCCAGCAAGACATAAACACTAGTGCTGTACTACTGTATAAGTGTATCAACTTTGATTGAACTTGGATAATGAGCCAGTATTTAATGTAAAATAGAAGAAGGAAACACATGGGAACGAGTTATGAAGCAGCTATCCTCGACTGTAACAAGATAATAAGAACTCAGAACGTGCGATAACAGGGCACACCGTGAACTGACAGGCTACTGAGACATTCCCGTCTTTGGTCCTACCCAACCTTGAACCTGCCAAGTTGGAAGGGTGTTGGTTTGCATACTAGAGATGTGTTAGAGCTAGGTCTAAGGTCGTTGAATGTCTCAGTAGCCTGTCAGTTTTGTGCCCTGTTATCGCACGTTCTGAGTGCTTATTATCTTGTTACAGTCGTGGATAGTTGCTTCATAACTCGTTCCCATGTGTTTTATTCTTCTATTTTACATTATTTTTGAAGTTGATTGTTCCAACTAGGAACACACGCTTCTTGCCGAACTTGACACTTGACTGACTCACGACTGCCATCCAGAGCACACGAGGAACACGTCGCACCTTCCACTCGGCAAACCTGCAAGAAAGCACCACTCCCTGCTCAATACACAGTGTTTCGGGGAATTCACCCCTCATCAGTTGAGCTCATGTGCTCTGGATGGCAGTCGTGAGTCAGTCAAGTGTCAAGCTCGGCAAGAAGCGTGTGTTCCTAGTTGGAATAATCAACTTCATGACTATTACCGCCGAAGTCGCAACTTCTAAGTTTACATTATTCCCGATGATCAAATTAACGGTGATAAAATAATAGGATAGATGTCTGTATTTTGAGGCAAAAATGGGGGGGGGGGGGTGTGCGGTTTGTACTCCAGTGCAACTATACTCCAGTAAATCGGTACTGGGTAGAGGGGCATCAGTGATATAGAATGGGAAAATGTCTTCGCAGGGTGCAGATTAAGGTTTGGGAGAGGGTATCTAGAGGTAAAGCATGGGGAGATAGTACACAAGAGTATGGCTTGGGAAGACGGTACACCAAGCGTATGTCTTGGTATGAGGATCTCCAGGGGCAAAGAGTGATGGGACGTGTGTTGTTCAGTGCTCTGGTGTCTTGGTTTGAATGATTTGCTTTTGTGTAACAGGGCGAACTGGACAGCACTGTGAGGATGACTTGGATGAGTGCAGAACTGAACCATGTGGGAAGCATATTGTCTGCGAAGACAAAAAGTTGCCCATGTCTGGTCACACTTGCACCACCAGGTGCATCAGTGGGTTTAGATTGGAGGCTGGAAATTGCCTTGATATCAATGAGTGTACTGAAAAAAGAAACCACTTCAAACAATACTGTATCGCCGATTCCACCACATGCTCAAACATACTAGGATCTTATCTGTGTCCATGCAAGACTGGATTCACTGGTGCTGGCAACCAATCCTGTACAGGTAAGGTTTGGGGTTCAAATTGAAACAGACAAACATGCATACACACGTGCATGCACGCACGCGCAAGCACACACACACACACACACACACTTGTACTTGTACTTGTTGCTCACTGCCAAAACTGGTCACGTGGGTCTCCCCGGGAGAGGGGAAAGAGACTCAAAAGGAATCTTGGAAAGATGACTCAATTGGCTATTGAACCGCCCAACGGCCGACACCCCCTGAAATCCCCAAAACTCTGGGTGGACTTGAAAATGATCCCACTTATGGGCTCACCACACCTCAGTAAGCGGGTGAGGACAAGGTGCAGAAAAAGGATTGACGGCATCAGGGTATCCGTCCCGGGATCCAACTGCAGTTACCCCTGCCCCCAGTGAAGGTAATACTTGCTACTAGTGTGGGTGGCTAAATCAGAGTGGATCGGATACAAGCTTCACTAGCACCATGATTACACAAGAGTTAATCTAGCCAGAAGTAGTCCATGGTTAACAGGTATGTATACTTCAAAGTTCAAATAGAAAGTATATGAACCCTGAAACCAACAAAGGTGGTAGGTACAACATTACACCTTCAAGCAGCCGAGCCCGTTGGCAACAGACCCAACACTATCAGGCATAAGTGTGCCCACCAACCGAACTAGCTGGCACACACACACACACACACACACCATTGGACCATTGGACGCGATGATAGCGATGCTACAGCAGAAGCCATAGCAGCTTGTGCTGGGATTGCACCATTCAACAGCTTGCAAGGCTGAAGAATTGACCGCCACTATTCAGCCTTGTCTACACCACACAGCTATGAAGTGGCTTTTTCTGGCCAGTGAACACACACACACACACACACACACACACTACTACTACTACTATCAATCAGCTACCCCGTGGGGTCACGCCGCCCTCCACTCAGAGAACTGAGCGCAAGGTGAGGGGCAGTGGCGCAAAACAAAACAGGAAGTACAGCAAAATGAATTGAAAAAAAAGGAAATCAAAACAAGCTGCCATATTGATGGAAAAGGACTCACAAACAGAGGAAAGAAATATCACAAACCAGAAGAACAGTCTGCTGTAGGTTCACTATAAGTATAACATACAACGACTGTACGTCTGTACGCGTACTGCTTTGGCCTTCATAAACCAGGAAAGCACAATCTTGAACTGGAGGGTGGGCACCGAACGTCCCACAAGGGCTCCACAAGACGAACTTTCACGAAACGACGAGGAGTGTGCACAGCAAGCTAACATTACTACACCATCGTCGCACGACGACTGGCCACTCAGGTCCAAACAACACGACAAATCCACAATACCAGCGATACACCGCGCAGGAATAAATTGCTGCGAGTGTGACCTGTTCCCTCAGGAATCCACTTGCTTTGCCGAACGCCACTGCATTGTTTCAGGCTGGGGATCGATCCGAGGGCTCGCCACGCCACTGCGGAGGATGCGGAAAGGACGCAAGAAGACGGTGACGGCAACAAATAATTACCCGCCCTGGTCGTCAGCTCACTGAATGTCCTTCCGCGCGAGCGAAACCGGCTGCAAGGCATGAAAAGCCTACTGCCACTCAATACCCAGGGACGACCCTGACCAGAAGGCCAAGGCCACCCCGTGGAGGAGGCCAACAAAGAGAAAACCAGAAGCTAACAAATCACACGCACACACACACACACACACACACACACACACACACACACACACATACACATACACACGCACACCTGCCTGCATGCATACACACACACACACACACACACGCACCACACACACACACCCATTGGACACACATACACACCAACACGCACACCAACACATACACACACCAAAACGCGTGTACAAGCACACACACACACACACACACACACACACACACACACACACACACACACACACACACACACACACACAGATACTGATGGATGGACGTTCATGTCTATGTAGTGTGTAGCATCACACAACAATGATGCAACCAAGTCTTTCTCCGCCGTTACGAGTTTCGTGTAGTACTCATCAGACAGCATATGACCAAGCCTAGCATTTGCTAGAAAAGAGGGCAGAGGTGATGGAGGTACAACATGTCAATAGTGCCTGGAAAAGGAGGTGGCAAAATCAGCGAGATTATAAGAGAAAAAGAGCACTATTGAAATGTTGTACCTCCATCTGGCCTCTTTTCTCAAGGCCCTCTGTATATATTCTAGTGAATGTTAGTCTTGGTCATGAATGCTAGTCTTGGTCATGGCATGCTGTCTGATGAGTGTTTTCACACGAAACTCTGAGTAACGGCAGAATAAGACTTGCCGGGCTGCATCACTGATGTGTGATCATTGTATTACTGGCTCTGACCACTGGTCATAGAGCAATATACACAGACTGAGGACCTTAGACAACTGACTAGTGTGTGCCATCATATACTACACACTACATGGACATGGATGACCGGCTTGGAATCAGATCTGATGTGTGTGGGGATGTGTGTTTGCGTGTGTCCACATGTGTACGGGATGGGATGTATGTGCATCTGCTTGTACGTACATGTGTGGATTTGGGCATGATTTGTGTACATAACTGGGATTTGTTTGTGTCAGTGTTTTTTTATGTTCACATAATACTCTCGAATGTTTTGACAAAGTGTGTGTGCATGGGAGCGTTGCTTTGTCGGAATATAATAGATTGTACATAATTATGTTTTGCGCTTGCTTGCTTGCGTGCGTGCATGCATGCATGTGTGTATGTCCTTGATTGCAGACATCAACGAGTGTGCTTCGAGTGGCATGAATGACTGTGATGACCCCAACGCTCTCTGCACCAACACAAGGGGAAGTTACATGTGCTCCTGCAAGCGTGGCTTCAACGGCACGGGCAGGACAGCCGAGAACGGCTGCTTTGGTACGGTACTTGACTGGTGTTTTCCTCTTTCAACAACGAGGACCACTCATTGTTCTGCTTACGCCGCCATGATGATAGAACTTTTTGTTTCCAGTGTAGTCTTCTACTAATCCAATTACTTTCCAGGACCATATGCCATCCTCGTCGATCTCTCACAAACAGATCACTTCCCAAAGAACGGGTCATTCTGCACAATTATGTTGTCCGATTTCCATTTTATAGAAAAGTGTTTGCTCGCCACAATGGAGCTTGCGCTTTTCCACCTAAACGACTGGACACTTGATAACACACCACACTTCACTTGATTTTCTTTGCTTGATATTGCTAAAAGACTTGGGGCAGATCTCTCAGTATAGCACAACCCATGGGGAGGTTCCACTGTCCACTTGTAACATGCTTTGACCTTACCCTATTATTATTATTATTACTTATACAAAAGAGAAAGACCAAGGAACTATTATAATTATTATTATTATCGCGTTGACATCGCCAAGCAAGCTTGGCTAGTTTTCGCTTAGGCCAAATGGAATGAATAATGAGGAACAAGCGGGGTCAATGAGGTGCTAATACGCATGCATCAGCAGATTAGGACACAAAGAAAAAATTATGTCCAAAGAGTTCACTCTATATTAATATAGTGCTGTCTGACGGTTGTCCTTGTTGCTGGACAAACAGAAGTAGTGTGTATTGAGAATGTGCCGCATGATCTGAGCTGAGAATGCCGATGTCCAATGTTTGCATCTTCACAAAAGGACGCGGCGTGTTTGGGACATACTGTCTTGTAACTGTGTGTACGAGGCTGTGTGTCACATTGTTTAGAAAGATTAGCCACTGGACTACATGTAGTGCAATGTATTGCTGTGAGACAATCTCATGTTGAGCTTTTTCTTTATCGTCATAGCTCACTTATTTCCCTGGTGTTCTTCTTCCTGGTTCTGTTCTCATCTGCCGGTGGTTTTGCTGGTGGTATTTTCTACAGACATCAACGCCTGCTCCAACAATGTCCACAACTGCATTGCCGTTTCGACGTGCTCTGATCTGGACAATGGCAAGCACACATGTACGTGCCCCGACAAGCAACTGCAGACCAGAGACGGCACCTGCGATGGTAGGTCGAGTACGAGCGATAATGTGTACATCTAGTACCCTCAATTTGTCGGCAGCACCGGTGCATCCGTTGTGGACCTGTCAGCGCGCACGGAGAAAACGAAGCAGAACCATTTGGCAATGAAAACTATTTTATCAAGAAAATGTCACGGTTGGCATGGGATTAGACTGGAGCCATTTTATCTAGAACCAGATTTAAACCAGCTTCAAGTGTACCTTGCCACTGTGACTCAGAGGTTTCACACGTGATGTTAACCCGTACTGTAATATACATGGTCGTAGCTCAAGTCAATTACAAACATCTCCATCCATAAATCTCCCTGTTCTGGCAAATTATGAAGTGAAACGCCTGTAGGGAGATAGCCCATTTATCTACTCTTCTTCAGAATCTTAAAAATCATCCTCATCAAAGAACCAAACATAGGCTGCGTTCGTTTTGGTCTTCTTGGTAGAGTAGAGTGAATGTTGAGCCGGTAGATGGTAGTTTACCAAAGCAGTTCTACTGTACAATGCCTAAGTTTAGCGAGTAAAGGCTTTTTTTAGCGTTTTCTGGATTAGGACCAATTTGCGATGAAAAAAACTTTAGTGATCCAAGTTTCAGAGTAAAGAAAAGAATACCGTCGTACTGTACTGTACATGCAAACTATCGATTGGCGCAACGAAACTTTAACGAAAACACTCCTTTCGCTAAAATCACCTCAAATATCACCGTGACTAAAATTAGCCATTTCACGGCCATTTCGGTAGAACGTCGATTTTACAGCACGACGTACGATATTTTTTAGAAAACAGCTCTCATCATCACACAAGTACAGAAATACCGTACCTCTACTAGCCAGTGCAGGCTGTCGTAATAAAATGACTCATCCGTGTTCCTTTACCATGCACACTTCAGTTGTAATAATTGTAGTAACGTGGTGTACACATTAGTTGTAATATAGTGACTTAGTGTACACTTCTAGGAAAGTGGTTGCTCCCCATACTGGAGCTCGCAAACCCTTTCCAAGCAAATCATCGCTGAAGTCGCTACCACTAATTTTCGTAGTGTACACTTCAGTCGCAATAATAATAGAAATAATAAGTTGCAATAATAATGATTATAGTGACTTAGCCGTAGTGACATGAGTGAATGCAAATTAGAAAGTCATGTGACACTGCAAGGCCTTCAGGGTCTTAGGGAACATTCACTAAAAGTGGACCTTATGCATCATGCAACGCTTCCAGGTGTTCTTGTTCTGCGTATACCTCAGTAGTCCATCCAATTCCTGCATGCTCTGCTAATTGACTTTCTCTAAGTGTCCTTGTCAAGCAAAGTCGATCTGGAGGCGTTCCGTGCCCTTGCTGCTGACCGAAGCGGTTGGGTGGGCATCTGTGCCCGAGTGGTGTCGGCACCCTAGTTGTTGTCTTCTTTTCGCATATTTCTTCTTTTTCTGAAACTGTTATGGTCTTTTGTATCTATTCGAAGTGGCTTATGCGAACATTTTTGGCTGGTTTGCATGATTTGCATGCACATTATGCAGCTGCAGGCCATGCTGATGTCTACGCGAACAAGCACATAATAATAATAATAATAATAAATAAGTGCAGTGCTGTTGGCCACATTCCTTATAGAGCTAAGTCAGAGGAAGAAGTTTAGGAGTGGTTCAGCTGATCTTTCATGCTAGTCTTACAATTATGAACAATGACTGCTGGAACTCATGGCCTAGGGTCAGTTAATGGCCTCCTCTGCAATCTCTACCGTCCTAAACATCTGTCTTTTGTGTATTGTTTGTCTCCTTCCTACCTACCCCAACGCAGTCGAGCCCACCTTCTCGAAAACCTTGACCAGTCACGCGGTGACGGTGGGTGACACTGCCACGTTTGTGTGCGGCTTCATTGGTTTGATTCGCGGCGGTGCTACGTGGCTGGACAACAAGGGTGTCGTTATAAAACATAGCGAACTATATAAGCTGACAACCAAGGTATGGATCGTGCCGGTGCAAGCACACATTTCATCCGACATCATCCATTGCACTGTACTTTACATTCTCCCTATTAGCCTATTAGGTAATGCAAAATATTTTGAAGCCATTCTTGTGCAGAGTGAGATAAATTCATGTGATGCAGATGAATCGTTAGCCATGCATAACATCTTGCAAGATAATTTTGAGGACTCCATTTCAACTAAGTAGTGCAACGAACAAATTTGGATCAACAAAGAAAAGAATGCAGCTGATCATCAGTTTAATGCAATGAATATAACTAAATGCGCACTCATATTACAACCATGGGGATGTATAATATAATTATTCCAGAACATTTTCTTGTCACAATTATCAATGGAATTCGTTACTAAAGAGAATGATAAAACTACTATAGGATTTATACACTCGGAGTGAAACAACGAGGATACAAGAATAGTAAGAAAATTAGCACAAACTTAAGAAAAATTTGCACAGGTAATAAAACTATACAGGTAAGAAATGATAGGAAATTCTGCAAGTGCAGTGTGACAATGGACATGCATGTGCAAGTGTGTGTGAGTACACTATTTCAGTAAATTCGCACTCACACACACTTGCACATGCATGTCCATTGTCACACTGCACTTGCTGAATTTCCTATC